ACAAAACAATAATCACAACCTAGTGATGATACTCATAAAATTGTGCGGTATAAACTCTGCCGAAAAACACACAAAGTAAGATGATTAAAGCACAAGCTTCAAAATACCCAGAGAGAAAACATATATCTTCCAAACAGACTCTCACTTAACAGATTGTTTTTAAGGAAAAGTGGTGAAAACCATATATGGTTTCACTGTTTGTTTAGTAGAGCATGGCATGATGGTTGGAAGAGTTTTTTGAAAACTAACTTGTAATTTAATATATGAGACAATTAACACAAAGCAAATGTATAAGCAAAGTATCATCAACTTCCAGTCAGACACGTATGTGTTATATACATCTCTGTTCCATTCAGGAAGAATTTTGTTACTATGTTAGTAAACAAAAACATATTGACACATGACTGATCATGAGCTCCACCTGCTTTTTTAGCCAGCATGAACACTCTCTTCCCCGGTTCCGATTTCCACAGTTACACTAAGTGAGCTGAGTCCAGCTTATTGACACCCTTACTACACACACACACATCATGCTGACATAAGAGGGCCATAATATACACCAATGTTTACATTCTAATTCTATTGTCTTCCCAAGAGGAAAAAATATATAAAGAAAAAAAAGCTAAAGCCAGTAAATTTGATGGGGAAGATTTTCCACATCTCGTGGAAGAACATTTAATGTTTGGAATAATGAGACACGCATGTATTAGATGTTCTTTTACATCCAGATCCTTCGACCATTTTGTAAGAAAATCACGAAAATTTTGACCCCTGAAAATTACCAGCTATACTTTTTTTTTTACATCAAGTATTACAAGTTTTATGAAATGTTGTAATTGAAGAAATTCAAACGACTAACATGTTTGATGCTGAGACACAATGATAGATTAATACTCCAACCAATAACAGAAAACAGAAAAATGAGACGTTTTATACTTTTGGCAGAATACATATTTTCAAACCTATGATATTCGTAGTAAAAGAAATTTCAAATATTTTTGGAAAAGTTTGTCTACAGGATGCTGATATATCTACCACCTCTGTCAGTGTCCAGTTGCAAGGAAATGTATCGGGTGAGGTAAATATATTGCGGAAACACGTGCTTCAGCTTCTAGGAATGCCTTCGATGACAGTCAGAGTTTCATCAGCATCATTTCAAGGCAGCAACAGGTAAACTACATACCTTCTTCAACATAAATACTGCTGATCGAATTCCGACGCGAAAAGAATATATATGTTACCAAGGATGTATTCGAACAAAAGATAATTATCAATATCGTTAAGAAATATCTACCAATACTTACTTTGAACATATTCAAATTTATTGTGTTGATTTTTTATTTATTTATTGCAAATTAAGAGAAATTGTATCCACTAAGAAAGAGAAAACATGCGACTAACAATGGTCTTGTGAACAAGTATGAAGCACTGAAAAATCAAATAAATATATCAGCCCAGGCAAATCCTTTTTTTACTGTTTCGGGCTTAATTTCCCATTAACCGTATATGCCTTCAGTTTTCAATAAAAAGATATCGTACAAGTCTACAGCCCTATGTACAAGTGTACAGGCCAATGTGTCTACATACTTATTTACAAGTATACAGACCTATGTGTCTACAGCACTATGTACAAGTGTACAGACCCATGTGTCTACAGCCTTATGTACAAGTGTACAGGCCCATGTGTCTACAGCATTATGTACAAGTGTACAGACCCATGTGTCTACAGCCCTATCTACACGTGTACATACCCATGTGTCTACAGACTTATTTACAAGTGTACAGTCCCATGTACAGTGCTATGTACAAGTGTACAGACCCATGAGTCTACAGACCTATGTATACAAGACTACAGACATCTATGCACTATGCACTATGTACCCATATCTACAATCTTTAGATCTTACTTTTTCTTCGATATTGAGTTCGGTAATACAGGTGATGTGAAACAATTTCCTATTTAATATTGAAATCTTGAATTGAATGAAATCACGTGAGAAAATGTGTTGGTTTGATGAGGTAAAGACTGCGTCCTCGAGTGTCTTGGTTTCTATATTGTTCTATTTATTTACACTTTGTCGTTGAATGTTGTCATAGATGTGATACCTGTTCAGCTCTCTTTTCTCTGAGCATATTTCACTAGGCGCTTATATATGGCAGTGATACAATGAGTGTATCTAGTTTTTTATAAAGACTTCATATGGTATAATTTTCTAGATGACATATCTCTAATTATACTAAGAAAACTGATTTCGCTTTCAGCATAACTTTTACTAACATGACGATCATTGTAACATCGAAAAGCTCTCCAGTTACCCACGCAACGCTGGAAGCAACCATCAACAAAGTTTTGTCAACATTACATGTACGAAAATATCACAAACTTGGCAACTCGAACGCAAACTCTGCCAATCCTAAAGTAAGTAGTGAAGTGGCAAAAAACTTGTTATCTTAAGAATAACGCAATAATTAAGAAAGATAGTGGAAAATGAGAATGATATTTAGGAACTTCTATTATGTGTTACTAAGGATAGTATGAAAACGTGTTGGAAGTACAAAAGATCTGATGAATCACAAAGACTTACACGAATAAAACAAACCTTATGTGGTTGCAACATATATATCATAAACGGGCGATAATTTCGACACCAAATATTTAGTGTTACCGGGAGTATGAAACACATTGCCATATGTCGTTTGCATTATGAAAATAAATTCGATCCAGTGATGGCAACTATAGATATCCATGTGAAACAGTGAAGGTCACTTACATGATAGGGACCATTAGTATTAACTCATATGGTATCTTTTCCAATAACCATCAATTGTCTTCAGAAACGTGCTGCCGGACACACTGTTGTGATTGCGACAGTGTCAGCATTCCTAGCTCTAGCCATCATCATTGCTTCCGTCATCATTATAAAAAGAAGGTAAGCACTCCTTATTGACTAATTAATCGGTGTGTCATTCATTTTCATATCGCATCGTACATACTAATCTATCTTGAAAAAATCATCCTACTGATATTTTGCTTTTTCATCCTATGAACCGAAGACAGAACAACAACATTATGTAAAAACCAAAATCTCTGTTCGAATTCAAAACCGATCGCCCAGTTTGTCAAACAAATAGCCTCAATTAAGATAAAACATAACTGGATTGTGGCAAATCCACTGAGGCATTGTTATACAGTACAATATATATCATTGCGTGTCATATAGTATACTTTTTCTATATTTGTTATTACTTTATTTGTAGACAAAAACGAAAAAATAAAATTCCGTACATACGTGAAGATTCGTCCAAGTCTAACAGTGTGAATCTTGAGTCGATTACCGAAGACGACCAGGCCGTGTTCGATAACCTCGGATATAGAAATGACAGAGAGAGGGCTGCCAGTGAACGGTTATAATCAACTGGCCAATATCGTCATGTATATACAAGTATTTTATGGAGTGAGTGGTCTGATACTTTGTATAATGTACATATGATACAAGTGTACACGTATTGTAAATTTTAGTACGTAATCGAGTTATATATGCGTTTGGTTCTACGAAATGTTTGCACTTCTGCTTGTACAATACTGTTTACTTCAGGAAACATGAATGCTGAAATTGCTCTTAAGCGAATGCGAACTGCACAATTACTTTGTACAGGAACTGATATTACAGTGATATGCACGACATTTGCACATTTATAACAATTGTACACCATTAACGCTTGCTGAAAAATAAGTGAATTTATAATGGTTATGTATTCAATGCAGATGAGAATTTTACTGTGTGTACATGGTTAGCTCGCTATCATCAGATTGCCACCTTGCTTCCGTGGTCCGTCAATCGCCCGTGGTCCGTCCATCCACCTCATGTCCCTTTACAATAATTATCATAGCTGTGTCTTAAATGGCCCGAATGGATATTTCTCAATTTTGAAACCCTAGCTTTGATAGAAAAATGGCTGTCATCTTGGATCTTGACTATGAAAATGTGTTATCGCAATTTCCTGAGAAGTACTGGATGAGTATTTCTCAAATTTCATACGAATGTCCCATTTGTCCCTTGTTTTCAGCTTTGGATTTTGACAATGAAACGTTAGTAATCACCATTCCTGGGAAAGGATTTTCATGAAGTCAGCCAATGTCCCTACTTTTGTCGTTTTTAGTTAGGGACCGATTTGCGAAAAAAAGACATACAGGTGGCCATCTCGAATTTTTGCTATGAAAAATTGTTATCACTATTTTCTGAGAAGTACATGCACGTACTGAATGAATATTTTTCTAATCTAAGATTACGACTGTTATTGGTTATTACTATATCTTATGAGGATCTGTGGACGGATCGTTTTCAAATTTGTAGGTCCCCTTGTTGTACATATACCACTGGTGGCAAAATAGGAAAGAGGAGAAGAAAAAGACACAAGTGATAAGGAATTAATTAAGCTTCTACAATGATGTGTACCAAGATACTCTTGGATCTCCTGTTTACCATTATTATCTAATTACAAAGTCTGTACAAATAGGAAATTTAACAATAATTATGGATTTAATGTATAATTTTCATTTTACGAGCGAATGGATCACGCAGAGTCAGAGAGTGTGTGATTGCATATGGAAATACAGGGTTACTAAAGTAATCATGGAATATACACTTACTCCCGCGTTAAATGTGCAGCACGTGTGTAACTGGTTGTAAGATTTCATGAAGGTATTTCATATATGCATAAATAGCAATTTGATTACTTTGCATATTATGAAATTAACGTATATACAAATCGTGCATTAAGTATAGATTATAAGGATACAGATAGGGTTCAGGTGAAATGGTTTAATAACCTTTATTTTATTCGCTGTTTGGCTAGCAGAAAACTCATTTATTTGTTGAAAAATGACGAAAATGTTTTTACCGTAATGATTAATTTTATTGGAATTCAATCAATCGATAAATCAATAAGACGACTTTTTTTCAAATTGCACCCATGGTGTACAGAATGACCGTTGGGCCTTAAATGCCGGAGTTGTCTTTGATCCATTGCCGGTAATGAGTGACTCGGGTGTACACTGAAGGATACATGGGAGGACATCCAATATAACCGAATGACGTTATTCCGACTAAGGTGTCCCCACAGGTCAATGGTCCACCGCTATCGCCCTGATCAAACATAATCATGCACTCTATACTGGGTAACTGATGCGGTACAGAGAACTTAACTAAGACAACTTAATTGTTATTTGTATGCTTAACAGCATTTATGCAATTTACATAAACGAATATTTCACCTGTGTTATCATAAACATTACTGTGTGGCAGTTTATTACAGTAAATCAAAAATATGTATTACAAACTCAACTGTCCTAAGCTTTCAGTTCAATAATGGATGCAGGCAAAATATGCATCTTTATCCATATCTTCATCACGCCGTTATTCATTTGTTGTTCGTAAGGAACCGTTGTTATTTTTGTTTTAACTTTTTATTGGTAAGTTATAGATAATATGCTGGTAGATATTCGGCAGGGATATACCTCATTTTTTTAAACGAAACATATGTCACTAATTGAATTTAGGGCTGACAGCTTTCGGTAAATTGGCAAATCGTTTCAGAGATGATAAGTGACAGTATGTTACATTTACCGCAGTATGCATAGTCGAGAAAAATGTTCACTTTATGTTGTAATCGCACAATACGTCTACCCTTCACGATATGTTATAAAGCGGCTCTCATATATTTTAATCGTGAATTATCACAATAATTCTATAACCTCTGCATTTTCTGAATGTTGTCCATGTTAAAGTAATTATTTTGGGTGTGCAAATTCATCATTGCCCTAATTTGTAAAACAAAAAGTATATATATATTTTGCGCAAATCTTCAGCTTTTCCCTATGCGGCAGAGAAAACGCAAACAGAATCTATACTCAACATGATGGCGGAATATTAACAGAAGAAAGATTTCACGGAGAACCCTGCAAAATACAAACTTAATACTAAGTCACACAAAGTAAATTATGTAACGTTACCAGATGTGAAGAACGGAACCGCCAATTAAATTAACGAGTATGGAACACATATATCTAAGTATCAGGAATATTCCCTGATGAAATCATTGTGAAAACCATAAGACTTCCTCGTTATCTTTATCAAGCTGTATCTCTCGACACTAAATATTGTAGAAGGATCTGTCAGGTATCGATAGCTTGCACGGAAATCGTGATACTGAGAATAAGTGTGTGGTTATATCGATGGATTACCTAGTATACTTACATTACAGGAGGAAGAATCATCCGATAAAATGCATACATGACCATCGGCAATGATATCTTCCCCAAACACGTCAACACACCACTTTTCCTTCATTACGGTCATTTTAGCTTGTTGCAGGACTTCAGGAAGAACTGTTAGTGATAAAATTATACTGTTGAGCTCATTCCGAAAAGTGATTTTCATCTATATAGAATATATGAAAAATACCAACGTGAAAATAAATTCATATTTAATAAAACAAGGGCAAAATATGATCAAAAGGAAGATTTACATGCAGACTCCTGAAAAAAACACCATGAGGGAAAGACCAGGTGTCCCGGAAGAGTAAGCTTCTTCTGTTTTTATCGGCGAATCCGCTATGTTAATCTTGGTCAATCCAAGAACGCAATGTTATGTTTTAAAATGAGACTAACGAGCATCAAATACGCCCTGTTTCAAACCGTACAAGGAGATCACTATGACGACAGTTATGACAACCTGCATCTTTTCAAACCCTGTATTATAAGGCAGTTGACGACAGTCTGGCCGGAAATCGTGATAAAGGGAAATGCCTTTGAATATCGAATCAATCGCGACACATAAACAAATAAAAATCGAGATAAACGGGTGGTGCAGAAGAATCTGAATATAGATATATTACAATTATATATTCAGCTGTATTTATTGAAAACTTTGCAAATGCATATGAACGTGACTACTCCACTCAGTAAATAAAGCTACAATGTTCAATGTTATGAATTTATTTGATTATGGGGCTGCTGCACCTCCCTGTGTATATTTTGACTTATCTTTCGTTTACTTTGGATATTTTTAGTACCTACGAGGCTTCAACATTTAGGCCTTAAACATCACTGACAAGTCCTATAAGGACAAAACAGCTGTATGGTACATTTAATTTCGTTGTTTGACTCTACTGTATCTAGCTCTTAATACTTAAAAGGTACAGTTTTACAGAATATTGGGCTATGATTACGATATTTTACCGCCATCAGTTCGTAATCAGATTGATGTTTCTTAGTGGTTCGCAGAGCTTAACTCTCAAGCTTATGATTTAAACAAAGGAAAATTACTTTCGATATCCGAATTTCCGCTATTTCCTTATCATACAAAATATATATGGTGTACTCGACTGACAATTGAGTTACTGTGTACCCTCGTTATAGTACAGTGGATACGTTATACTCTGCTGTTCTCAATGCTGTTAGTTTGCATACTGTTACCAAAAAGGGGGCATACTTACCTACACCATATACTGTATATCCCCATCCAGTGATGTCGCAGCGATGAGGAGCGAATTTGTTTTTGGAGTCGTTGTCTGGTAATTTGACCAATGATGCGGCCCCAGGACCAGTGATGGATTCGTTAAACTTGAGAAGTGCAATGTCATTAGGAAAAGCACCATCACCTTCGCCGTAGTATTCGTGCTGTAAAAAGTGAACACAAACATAGAGATGAAGAGGTGTGTTGTAATTTTACAGGTTGTTTACTAAAGATGTCTCACTTACATTAAACCTTGGCAATCATTCATTAAAATACTTTATACAATCATACAGAACGATAATGATAATTGACCCACGATAACAAGGTAAGAGGTAAGATGGTAAGTTATATTTACTTACGACAATTATTTCGGCCACTGGAAACACCACTCCTCCTCTTGCACGTGATGAAGATCCGACCCGAATGGAGAAGAAACTATTCAACAATGAAAACCGACTCGGTAAGTAAAGTGATGAGGTGTAATGTGTAAATATATACTATGACCTGATTTACATGACAACATTCAAGGAATGGAAGGATAAAGTGTGTTTATTTCTTACAAAGATGGATGGCCAGATTTACATGATAAAATACGCTTTACGATTTACGTACTAAATGTGCTTATTTGTTGTAAAGCAAGTTGTTAAGAAGAATTGTTACGATCACTTGATTGTACAGAAATAGAAAACACGTGAACCACGGCTTGATAGATCGGGTAAGAACACAAAACGCAAATAGGTAGATTTCTCATATGCTAGAAATGTTCTTTTGGGTTTGGTTTTTTTTTATTTTTATTTTTTTTTTTTTTTTGGCATTTTTTAACCTTTCCTGGTACAATCACTTTGGACAATTGCATTCATTCAGAATATGACAACGTGTTCATCATTAAGATCATTAAGATCCAATAAAAATAGGGAAACGTATAGAAAGAATGATAAATCATTAATCTATTTTTCGGTTGACACGTAAAATGCAAGTCATGGTACTGAAAGATGGACATGACAGGACTTTACGATCGGATCAGCTTTCAACTACTAATTCAAATTCGATTACTAAGGAATAATGTTGACATTTTTTTAATTGAGAGTTCTCATTGTTATATTCATATCCAAAACATCCTAGTTATGATGTACACAGGCCAAGGTACATTTTGGATTCTGTTATCCCCGATAAATATTTGAGAAAAACGCATTTTCTTGGAGATCCTCATGGGATAATATATCTTTTATTTCATATAAAGTACAAACTAAAAAACATAATGTACATGTTTATTGGAAATTAAGTGTTATTTCTGATTGTAAAAAATTCTGTATTATATTCCATTTTCCGACTACAAAATTTAAAAACGTATCTCATATACATTGTTATTAAGAATGCAAGTCACATATACCGCATTCTAAAGATGTCATATACATACCTCGCCGGTGCAAAGGTGACACAGTGAGCTGCTGTTAAGGCTACCGTGTCGCCAATAGCAACTGCTCCACAAATATGACTGCCCAAGAACATCAGAGAAACTTGCCATGGATATTCACATATCTCCGCGTCGTTTCCTCCAATAATTCTACTCATCCCATACGACTGAAAATATGGTAACTACGGATACATTCTAAAACTTTGTTAGAACACAGGAAATATTCATAAGTTCATAATCATATTGAAAAAAAAAAGATAACAACCCGTGTATTTACTTTGCAAGACCACGTCACAATATAAACTAGCCTGAAAAATTGCGATATAAACGTAGCATAAATAGAATACTGCGCGTGACCTTAAAACGACGTTATCAATTGTTGGCATGGAAACGCAGATGACGCGGATGGATTAAACTATCGATAATTAACTTGTGTATTAATTTGCTATTGGTATAAGGCAGCAACTTGCGTCTGAAATGTGTATAAGTATAGAAATGTGATATGGCATCTGGTACCATATTGACTTAGCAGATTCCCGGTAGGTATTTATAATAGAATAAAGAATTTAAAAAACAGTATTGCAACAGAATCTCAATTGAAACATAAATAATTCTTTGAAACTTGGGGGAAAATGTGGATTAAGGATAAGACCTATCATAACACACCCAACCAAGCATATCTCACAAGGAAATTTCCCATTGAAGTCATGATATCAACCATAAATCTTCCCCGTAATCTTCATCAACCTATATCCCTCAAAACCCTGAGTTGGAAGATTATCCGTCAGATGTCGATTTCTTGTACAAAAATCGTAATATTGTGAACAAGTTCTTGAATATCGAACTGCGACATGGAAGCACCATTTCGACAAGCCCTTTGATAAATTAAGTCTCGTATAAAATAAAGGAAGTCAAGAAGAGAGGAGCACCATGGGTATATCTATTGGAGAACCTACAACCAAACTCTACGAAGGGATTGTCAACTAGAAATTCAATCAGAAATTCAATTCATTATACCATTTACCTTTCCGATGTATCATTGATTTAGACAGATTTTTTAACGAATTACGCTCCACTATAATTCACAATCATGCACTTGTACCGCCGTTCACTTATTCTTAAATAAGAAAGCTCTCAACTTCAGAGAAAAGGCTTTCCTTCAGTGTGGAATGGAGTATTGAAGAGAGCAAAATGGAGAAAATCAAGTTTATATATGAAAATGCATATTTCTATAATTGCTACAATAAACGATAATTTACCACTATAGACTTAAATTGGTTCTTTTTTAAATATCAAGAGCAGAAGTTATGTTTTGTTAGCATTTTATGTTTGTTTTCGTAAGGAACATTGTTATAGATAGAGTAGCAATATGGGGATAGATAACACTCAGTGGCCGTGGCACATTCTTCTTAAAAGAGCTCAAATAATGAGATCAATTATACAGAACAGTTTGAATTTCAGGGGAAGGTTTATGGTAGTCGAAAGAGAACGATTGTACTACTGTGTTGTTCCAGTATCATCTAATGTACCCAGTACTATAGGTATTACATACACAAATCACTCTTTATTTGCTTACTTGACTTCAAGTTATCAAATCGGTAACATAAGATTGAAATTAATCGTTTTGAATTTATTAGCATGTTAAAACTTATACAACACGGTGAGACAAATCAATTCACAGGGAACGTACATTAAACAATACGTTCTAAAAAAAATGTTTGTAAACAAAATTACGTACCGATGCCTGCTGTATGTGATCTTCATTGGATGCTTGTGTCAGCGAGGAACAGCCTGTAAACATGGAAATGATACTGTTTAATGAACAGGCACATGAGCTGTATAACAGTATAACAATACAGCTTTAACAATCCAGGTACAAAATGATACACCAAAAGAAACAAAAGACAACACAAAAACATAAAATTAGATAAATAAATAACCGAAAAAAAAATATGTAACATAAAAATAAAAGTAAGGGTTTTTTTAGTCGATACTTCGTTGACTAAGCTATTCACATTTATTAAATAGTGACTGTTTCGTGAACTCTTTGAAACACTGTTTTCATTCTGTGGCAGTCTCCATTTTCATACTTTACCGTTTCATCAACTTTATTCAAAATGTCTAAGTTGTAATGGAATAACAAAATATTTAAGATATAGGAAATAGTGACTTACCTGCGAAAGCTACAAGGCATAAAGCTAGGATAAACATCGTGACTACTGTGGCTTTTAATCAGGATTAATGAGGTCCGACCTCATTGGTCACATTTATACCCTGCTCCAAGGTCACGGTGGCCCCTATCAACTCCTCCAGAGGTCAACAATGGCCAGCAAATGTTTTTTCACAAACCATCCTGAGTACTTACAATGCCTTTTTAGTAGTAAAGCAATTAGTAACGATAACAATAACTAATCACATGGTCCGCTCCCAAGAAGATTTCGCTCTTAGAGTCTTCATACATCTCAGTTTTATTACAACAGTTGTTTTTGACATAAATTTCCCATGAATTATTCATTTTGTCATTAGCACTTTGTTTTGAAATATTCATATAATTATTTGTAATCAACTGTTGGTAATAAATGAGACAGATTTACACGTTTAGATGTCCTATGCTTTATATGGTTGCTGTTATATTTAAATTTCAAACAGTTTCGTTCAACTTGGTCTTGCATGGTTGAGTTTGAGAATTTTGTATATTTATGGTATAGACAAAAATGTTACCGATCAACAGTACACAGACGAAGGTAAGTAGTATAATAAGTAAAAACATGCAGTTTTACAGAAAAAGTTAAATTCGAACTCGGAATAAGAGAAAAGTGTCTCCAAAGACGACCCTGCTGATGTATCTAGGTAATCACAAGCAAAACGTGTTCATAGATACATGTTGCAAGCACATAAATGTCATTCAGATGTCCTCGGCCATTTTGGACATTGTGGGGTAGGATCTTCTTGTAGTAGCTGGTGGTTAGCTGACTTAACATCATGCGAGTGATCCGCCGCATGCTCTTCAAAATAGAACTTAAGGTAAAGTGTATTGTCTACGGAAACAACCAAAATAACAAAACATTCTCTATAATCACAGCTTTCGCGCCCCCTTCACAAATTGCAAGAGACTCAGTAGGCATACCCTCTAACGTAGGAGACTTTGTTTAAAAGATTTTTAGAAGTCGTTGGAGACCTACGTTTTAAATTTGGTCCAGATCAAGGAAAGTCACTTGCGAGTAACAGCGCGTGCAACGTCACTGAATGGTTTGGCACTGAAATAGAAGGGGGCATGGAAAAGTGCCTTGTAATACTCCAAAGACGACGCGCTCTTTCTGTGAATTAGTCATCTTCTATTTCAACCTGAAGTTTTCTGTGTATTCGAAATAACTATTCAGTATGTGAACTCTGCCGCTCACACATCGTTGTTCATTTTCATGAACAAGGATACTTCCTTGAGGAGAGAAGAGGTCAGAAGGAAAACGATTAAACTTTTAAAGAAAAAATGAAGATCAAACGATGTGGATGCAAGCTGAAAACTGACAAACAGCATCACAACGAGAATGTAGCCAATTAGAACAAAGACCGAGAGAAGAAAAACAATAATAATAAAAACATTAACTCTCTAGAAACAAATTTTATTCTTTCTTCTTTCATATAACAAGTAGATATATCTGTGACAACAAGTGATATGTGAAGACAAAGAACACTCGGACTTTGTCTGTGATGCTTTGAAGGTGGTAAAACATACTTTGTGATATTGACAAATTTTTACCTTCTCATAAATGTACGGGAAAACGAAACTTATGAATTTTAATGTATTCAACATCTTACTAATGCATTTAGTATTTCGTATCAGACATCTAAGATCATCATTTACACTACAAGATGATCAAGCATCTATTACATATTATATATGTTCCGTTATCGTTGGTAGTCTAGTACACTGTCATCACTTATTATGATAAAGTGATAGTACAAACAGACCTGGATTACCAACCATGTGTTCTTTGAAATTATCAATAATTTGCTTAAAACATATGACTTGTAAAAATATCTTTAAGATTTGATTCTTAATTATACTTAAATCCCTGGTATTTTCTGATTACAAATTGGAATTATATCTCAGTAGACATCTCGCATCTAATATCTGAAATAAGTCTTACATCAAACATGTTTCTTTTAATTGCTGGAATTAAATTGTTACAATATAACACAGTAGCATCATCAACAAAATGGAGTAATCAAATGAAGAAAAAATCTCAGATAAAATCATAACATTAAAATGATTCACAGATCTCAAAACATCAACTAATTAGGAGAGAAGAATATTATGCAAGACAAACTTTACAAAACAATAATCACAACCTAGTGATGATACTCATAAAATTGTGCGGTATAAACTCTGCCGAAAAACACACAAAGTAAGATGATTAAAGCACAAGCTTCAAAATACCCAGAGAGAAAACATATATCTTCCAAACAGACTCTCACTTAACAGATTGTTTTTAAGGAAAAGTGGTGAAAACCATATATGGTTTCACTGTTTGTTTAGTAGAGCATGGCATGATGGTTGGAAGAGCTTTTTGAAAACTAACTTGTAATTTAATATATGAGACGATTAACACAAAGCAAATGTATAAGCAAAGTATCATCAACTTCCAGTCAGACACGTATGTGTTATATACATATCTGTTCCATTCAGGAAGAATTTTGTTACTATGTTAGTAAACAAAAACATATTGACACATGACTGATCATGAGCTCCACCTGCTTTTTTAGCCAGCATGAACACTCTCTTCCCTGGTTCCGATTTCCACAGTTACACTAAGTGAGCTGAGTCCAGCTTATTGACACCCTTACTACACACACACATCATGCTGACATAAGAGGACCATAATGTAATATACACCAATGTTTACATTCTAATTCTATTGTCTTCCCAAGAGGAAAAAATATATAAAGAAAAAAAAGCTAAAGCCAGTAAATTTCATGGGGAAGATTTTCCACATCTCGTGGAAGAACATTTAATGTTTGGAATAATGAGACACGCATGTATTAGATGTTCTTTTACATCCAGATCCTTCGACCATTTTGTAAGAAAATCACGAAAATTTTGATCCCTGAAAATTACCTGCTATACTTTTTTTTTACATCAAGTATTACAAGTTTTATGAAATGTTGTAATTGAAGAAATTCAAACGACTAACAGGTTTGATGCTGAGACACAACGATAGATTAATACTCCAACCAATAACAGAAAACAGAAAAATGAGACGTTTTATACTTTTGGAAGAATACATATTTTCAAACCTATGATATTCGTAGTAAAAGAAATTTCAAATATTTTTGGAAAAGTTTGTCTACAGGATGCTGATAACCTAGTACACACTAACTCATTACAGAGTACATGAAGAAAAAGAAAGATATTCTGTATTTCTATGATAACTGATGTAGAACGTGATTTGAAGGTAAAAGGCACTTAATCAGCTCTATTGTTTGAACTCATATTTCTGATTACATCCGATATCTATGTGATACACTCTCTCTGGGATACATATCTCAGTTATAGAGTTTTCCAAATTTTCATACACACTTTTTTTATTGTACGTCCTCCTACAATTGAGGTAGTAAGTAGGACATATGATACTTAACGGACTTAATGATTTGAAATCTTATAATGATATATGCACTATGACAACAGAATAATCATCAAGCTAAAGTGCTTTAAAAAGTCATTGAATCATGAAGTAAACATAGATGTACATTTCAATGTTCTAGATTCACAGAAATTCAACAAAAGCCGTTTTTATTCCATAATATTTGTAACTACAACGCAATATCGCAGCATAGCTCCGTCACTTGGTCGTTAAATTGTCAACAGTCTGGATTGTAAAACCCCAGGTGTGAGAAAGTTACACCGGCCACATTCCCAGGAATTCTTATGATCGTTAGGTTAGTTCTAGTTTTAAATAATCTAGAATGACACTCAATAACACTATGTTGTATTCATGTAAAACAAAGTTGTGTCAAAACATTTCAATTCAGCTTCCTGCAGTATTTTATCGTGACAGTAAAATATCTGACTCATAATCACACATTTTTGTTCAGTAGAAAGCATTGCCAATTTGTTATTATAAGATTTTAGCTGTGTAATTTGAAATTAAAAACTTATCACAAATATTTTATTACAACATAAATACAACTTGGGTGTTAGCAATGATTACAATAAATAGTTAAACAGGCTCTGCTCTAGTTTCACTTGCAGAATCGTGTGTTCTAATGCACAAAGATATTGATGTAAGTATGATCCCAGCTTTTTACAAACCTATGTACTAAAAAACAATGGATAATCTAAACATTAAAATCAAACACAGGAAAAACATGCTTTTCACAAAATTAAATGTTACATTTTGTACAAACGTCAAAACCACAAAAGCTCCTAATGATATCAACATAAATCCCAATGGTTCATAAAGCATAGAAATAATAGGTTATCATAAAACAGATAACCACATTTAATTTTAACATTCCTCTCGCAGAAACCACAATAAATAATCCCTGTTTATACTTTGCAAGAAACAGTGAACATCCTCAGAACACACGATGAACAAAGTAAACAACATCAAACATAAAAGACTTTATCTGGGAAACAACGTGTACGACAACAGAACTTAACATTGACTTCCCAATCATCTTAAACTCAACCTTCCCAACATAGCAAAATCATATCACGGCAGTATATCGATCACCTATCACAATTTAGTAACATAGTGTAGTACTTACATTCCATCACATTGCCAACAAAAGTCAAATTAAAATATTACATATATACAGACAAAATTTCTTCAATATTGATAATTTGAAGTATTCTGTAACATTAAAGATCATTATGAATGAGTTTTTATCCATAATGATGATGCAAAACATTTGTATGGAAAAATAGAAATGTTCTTTAAATGGTCATTAAAAGTGAGTTTAAAGCACTGTAAGATGTCTGATATGTAGACAAGGCCATACAAAGATATGAAAACTGGTATGTAATGTTATATAGGACTTTCTTATGTCGCTAAGGTGTGTACACAAAACAGTGACAAGATATGAAACTAGTATTCAACAGAATATAGGACTTTCTTATGTCGCTAAGGTGTGTACACAAAACAGTGACAAGATATGAAACTAGTATTCAACAGAATATAGGACTTTCTTATGTCGCTAAGGTGTGTACA